ACGTTTGAAATCGAATGGATATATTCCAGGCAAATTGTGAAAGTTTTATATATATAAAATTATCATGCAAATTACACGCCAAAATCTCGATGTAATCGTATTATTTGTCGTTCTTGTAACAAAAATGTCGTATGTCTTTTTAATTTTTTTCACGTATGATGTTCAATTAAAAAATCGTCATCATCAGCATCGTTATGATCATAATCAACATCAACTCATTCAAGTTTAATTATGAAATTAGGTGAAGGACAAATATAACTGGATTTGATATATTTCTCGTATATTTATGCACCCATAGTAGAACAATTATTTTTGTATTTTTGCGGTATTCCAAGTAAACAAATCGTTTATAAACTATTAGAGCTCAAACAACACTTATTTTCTCGCATTATTGGAAAGAGTTACGTAATACTGAAATATTGCAATATCTGTGTTACTAATACATCAGCTATTACTTGGTCCAATTCAACCAATACAAACAAAGCGCCTGGAACGCGTTCATTTCGTCAGAAGCAGCAATAATTTCCTACTTTTACAAATGAAACAATCATAAATAAATATAACTGTTACAGTCTTTGCAGCACATAATGCAGAAAGTAATAATCTCTCAAATCCTGCTTTGATTACGATGAACTGAGCTTTTAATTCTTTTATAGCATAATCACCGATCAAAAATTCTTACTGTAGTAAAGAAGTGTATTTGTTACTTCTAAGTTAAATTGATTAACTCCCAGCAAAATCTATCTTCTTTAACCAGAAAGTAAGTTAGATCATACAATCACACGACCGACATCACTGAGATGAATTCGAAGAATCTTGACACCACTGTCTTGACAGTTTGCGAAATGATAACGCGCCAAATGAAGACATTGTCGATAGAGAGGTTGGTAGCAATAAAACGTTTCATTTTTGCAACCAACTTGCCTTCAAAAACTGTTTCAACTTCGTAATTTTTTTTAGAAGAAGTTAAAATTATATAAAATAGAAATAAACGAATACTATTGTAAACAAATTTGTAGGAACGGAAATAAATATTACTAAATTCTAGCTTGTCCTCTCCAATGTGTATATTCAAAACAATGTGTAAATTTGTGCCAAATACTACAAACGTATATTAAGCTTAGTGCTTTCGTATTAAATAAAGCAAACATTAAGTACTTTACAATAAGTTTACGATTATTAAAATACGTTATTTATCATTTCCTTTTAACGTAAATAAGTTACGTCTCTGAAATGTTTTCAGCTTGATAAATAGAGAGAATATGTCACTGCTTCAAACCTAGCACGGGAAATTCGAATTTAACATTTTTTTTCCAAATTTCGAAAATACAGAGAAGGCGCTGAAAACGGGACCAGCACCAATTTATTTACCGTTCTTTGCTACATATATGAAAAGAACATAAAGAAAAAAGTTGGTGCCGTTTCAGAGAAAGTAATTATTTAAATTTTAAAAATTGCCTGTTTCACGCAATATTACCCAAGAAATACTCATAATTTAAAAACTGAACATAACCTTATTTTAAGATCTGCTTCTAATGAACACTTTTTTATGAAGAAACAAATTATGTACATACTAATAGTTGTAGGAAGACACCGAAAAATCTTTGAGTTTTTGCAATTTTCAGGGATGTACCACTTTCTTGAGCGTCCTTTGTGGGGGCTGGGGTCAAAATTTTATCATACATTTGGTGCAATTTTTAAGAAAAAAATGTTTAAAGATATAAAATTGCCCATATTTCAAGAAAAATTACGCGAAAACTACTCAAATTTTGGAAAAACTGCACATGACCTTATTTCAAACTGTCTTTAAAAAACATATTTCACTAAGAAAAAAGCTCTGTCTTCAATGCTCAAGTCAGGGATTTCAACGATAATGAGATCTGTACACTAGCCAACAAAAATTTAATTGAAAACATCTGGTGTCTTTTTAATTAATGTCCCACGGGCTTCACGTAAAGTCCCCCCCCCCCAAATTAAAATATCAGTTTCAAATTCAAGGGGCTATAGCCAAATCGATACGGGACTATCAGTTTTGGAGAAAATCGGCATAACGGTTTAGCCGCTAGCATTAAAAACAGATAGACGGACAGACCCGTTTTGCTGTCAATTTATTTTTCGGTATCAAGCACCCACAAAATATGGATTCATGCTAAACCATGTATTAGAGATTTTCCCCTATATTTAGCAGTTGAATGTACCCACTATTTCGTTACCAAGGCCCGACTAGGAGTTTTCTGCTGTTTTTTCCAGACGCGTTATATACATTTCTACCTACTTTGTAAGCAGTAGAAAGTAAGAATTAAATGACGTACATTCGTAAACATATTTATTGAATTGCCAAATATATATTTCAAGAAATATATATATTGGAAACACTAATATTTTTTGAACAAAATATGATATAAATGTGAATTTAAATCAATGGCATTAAACCAAATGAACTGTCAACACGTTGACTGCTACAATAATCAAGAAAATGACGTATTTTATGGCCGAGCCCTATTTATCCGCCTATAGAGATGGAACTTTACCAGATATCAAGCCATAAGAATCAACACTCGATTCACCTATGTGCAAACCAATATTATATTCTATTATTACAGCCACGTATTTTAAGATCCCTTAACGTAACACTGAGTTGAGAAGCGTACGCTGCTCTTCATGGCTATTGAAAACATCTGTTGATGCTCAAATCAACATGTAGAATCAATTCAATTTTGCGCAAAATACTGCATGTAAGACAGAAGTTACTGGCAAAGTTTCAACCATTTTCGACCCCGCCCTTCACACAGGAGCATTGCCAATGAATGGTATAGAGACATACATACAGTAAATGGTCGAATTTTCCACTTAAATATTTCATTGTATGTTCATTTTTAACTACCAAAAGTTTTTTTTAAGGCGAATTAGTTTTAAATGACTTCTTAGCTCATTCTGTTTACTAGTTATCCAGTATCAACGGAGAAAAAAATAACATATACCATTGTACTCTACGATTCAACACTCAGAGAATACGACCCATCTAGAGTAAGATATTTGGAGCATATTCCTCTGAAATTAAAACGAAAGGTAGTTGCCGAGGAAACATTGAGAGGAGTTCATGAATGTAAGCCATTTCGGAGAAAACTTCATTACTGTTCTCCGTTCTCCGGAATTAAACGAAGAGAACTCTCAAGGGTCCAATTCGGAAAGGCTATAGCCCCCGGTCGAACTCTCCGGCGCATTCATTTAGGCGGACTAGGCGGCCGCGCTACTGAGCAGCCCGTGCCCTTCCAGGCCCCCCAACCCCCCCCCCCAAAAAAAAACTATTTTGACGGCTACGGATTAAATATATAGAATCCTTTTTATCCTCTGCATTATGTATAATGAATTATACGTACATCGTATACTCCAGGGCATTCGCCGATTTAAAAAAAAATTGTTTAGCTATTATGCTTGGAAGATTGTACATCCGTTCACAATTCGATTAGAGTGGTATTTTGCGGAACGCGCATCGCAAAGTAAACAAAACATTGGGTACAAACCGACTGAGGTAGTCCGAGGCATCAATTAATGCCACTGCAGGGCCTCTGGCTGGGAGGTCCTAGTGTTCGAGTTTCGGCGGTCGCAGGATTTACGACACTAGTTAGATATAGCTAGGATAATTCGAACTAAAAATCAATGTTCTCAACTCGAACAAAATTGTATTTGGCACGCTCGTTGGAAAATTACGCACTCATCTTTTATCATTGCCTCGTCGGAAAACAATTCATTCGTTCGGGAAACTCATTGTTACAAAAATCCGTTTTGCTCACCAGCTAGAAAATGACTTTTGTGACTTCGAAGTACAAATTCTCCTTGCTTACTTGTACTAATATATGTAGCATAATATTATGTAGCAGGACGTTACCAGTGAAAAGGGGCTGAGGTGACAGCAGAAGAATGTGGTCATTTCATATTTTCAATTATGCCAAGTTATATCCATTATACGCTTTATTTTATAGTTTATTGTAGTTGTATTTAATATTCACGGAAGAAACGAAACGTATTAATATTTTGTAAAGTAACACACGCCCACTCGGTTCGTCAGATCTTATCATTTGTGAACATTGAGATAGTATGTTTTAAATGTGGTCTCTCTATCAAGTCGTTTTGAAAGATTATTTCAAGGTTTTGTGGGACATACTGTTCTCGAACTGATAAAACATTCTACAGGTGGCTCGTAATGTTATAAACATTTAAAACATATAGGGGGTCGTAGATAATTACTGTTTTCTAATGAACATTTGGCGAGAAATCCCATATAAGATACAGATAACACATTTTCAGTATCGCGCCACTGATTGGTTGACACTTCATTCTGCAATGGTATTTGTCACACGAACTCTCAGTGAAGATCTGACATCTCGCAATGAGAATGTTGAGTTTTTGTCTTTATTGTTCGGTTTTTACTAGAGAAATTTCTTTATTTTAAGGCTATGTTTAATGCACGAGTGGTAACGATGAGCAGATTCACACAAAGTTAAACGTGAAAATAAAACCAAAAATCTCGATATTGTCAGTGCTAGTGATTAGGTGGTTTCATGATCACTAGCGACCAGGTGGTGTAGCTGCCAAACACTAGGGCAGGATGATTTGCATACCAATTAAGAGCGCGAAGTCAAAAATACGTTGTTTAACTACGTTAGGTGAGATTTCTCCCCACATTTTAATTGGTAAAAAGTTATTTGAAAAATTGAAGAAACTTCCAACCTCCTAGATGCCCATGAATTTTGGAACATTTATTCTGAACCACTTTGTATATCACCAATTAATCTAAACATTAGAGGTTACCGTGGATATTATGAACGGTATATAAGCGAATTAGAAGAAGCATTGGTGATTTACTTACCAGTATTAAACGCAAGCCCTGCCCCTAAGGGTTATTGAGCCCTAGCCCAATTTTGGACCTTCCGTTCACAAATGAAGTACACAAGAATTTTTCAAATTGTAAGTACATTATGTATTTATACATTCCTAACCTGATTTCCGTAACAAAAATATCGGGTGCCTGGTTTACTGCAAGCAATAAATGAAAAACTCAATATAATTTATTTTTTGCACTAACAATCGTCCAGGTACATTTTGGAATTGTACTCAGGTACAATTCCATTCTCTCTCCACACTATTCTTGAAAGTCATCTTAATGGATTTTACTACTATGGAGGTGTGCCTAGCTCGTCGGTGATAAGCGCAATTATCTCAAAGAGATGCATTAAATACACAATTATTAACTACATAAAAACGTAACTGTTCAGTAACGAAATGATTCATGTGCATCCCAAAACAATCCAATGAGAAAGAAATAAAAAAAAGGGAATCATACATCCAAAGACAAGGAACCAAATCTTCCTATCGAGATACAAACCCAGAAATTAAAGAACACTTCTTTCACGAAAAAGCTCTTCAGATCCTGATCTACAAACTAATTCTTGAATAACCTCCGATAGCTGTCATTCTCACTTCGAATTTGCGGCTCGCCTTTTAAATTACGACCTGCACTTCTGGGACGCCGTCCGGATCAAGGCAAGGCGATGCGGAGGGGAGCAGGGTTTGGAGGAAAGACGGACTGACATCTAAAAGAACTGCCTCTACTACCTCCATCTGCTCGATGTCTCAATGATTCTCATTATAATGCCTCTCGTCCTTCAGAGTTCAAAAACTACACCTGAAAGACACTAGAACTCTCCTTTTGTGGAAGAATTAGACATTAAAACAAAGACTTCGATATGTAAAACGAAATAATACAATAAGCAGAAAAAAACCTAAGCGCAAGCAAATAATGAAATCAACTGGCTTGTAATCAGTCTTCCACATTCGCAAAATTTGGGTCATGGTCTATTAATTTATTACGTCATTATCTCACAAATAATGGTTTGCTACATTCTATTTAGGTAATATTAACATAAAATGTGCGTGTTTATGGCAGTATTAAAGGGTACAGAAGGAAACTATACCTCATAGCTCATTTTCATTTTAAAACATTTTATCTCTTTAAATTGTTTTAAAGAGAGCAACACAAATGCAACTTGTAAGAGTAACATGTGATACAGAAAATACGAATTGTTTTGTACCATTATGAGCTAAATAGAGAGCTATAATAGTTTGTGGCATGTTATGATGGGCAGTAGCGTATTAGGAGACAAGTCTGCCAATTTCTGATCATGTCTACTTCCAGTAAAATTACTTGTTAACGTGGACAAGGACAACCGCATGGAATAGGTCTTGACTTATTCACCGATCAAATAATGATTCACAATCTGCACAAAGGCAAGACAAATGAAGGTAGACAAAATCAATGGAAGTGCTGTTTATCAAGGAATGTTTTATCTTTTTTCTAGAGGCTCGACCACTTTAGTAAGGTTTTCTTCCTTTGTAGAAGAGGTTTTTTTCTCATTTGTCTCTTTATATTTCCATGCTGTCTTGAATAGTTTCTCCTTGGATGTTGTTAGTAATGCACACCAGCCTCTCGTCTCTCATTGTAGATATTATTTTCTATGAAACACTTTGTCACAAGAAAGTTCTTTCACTCTGTCTAATAGCAGGTTCGTTAAAAACTTGGAGCCCTAATAATACCAAGTACTGCGTCAATTCTTAGAGTTTGTTTCCTTTGTAGCAATATTTTATTTCTTTGCACGGGATAACAATGACATTTAACGAGTTGTAGTAAACGTTTCATCATACGGAGCGATAAAGTAAAGAAATTCTGAGTATGTGTAGAAAGAGAAAATGATCTGCGAAAAATGGAAAGAAGAATTGCCGAGAGGAATAGTAAATAGAATCGTGAATTAACAGGAATGAGACAGTCGGCAAATGACTCATTCTTTATCTTCACGTACCCACGCCTCTGTCGCTAGACATTAGAATAACGTCATTCACAAACACGCCCTAAGTCATTCCTTCTCATACGCGAATTATCTCTGTACCTCCCAGAGACTGTGTTCGTAAACTAGTAGCATTCAAGAAAAAAAATGTATTAATTTCTTTTATATTTTTGTTTTTTTATGAAATTTTCTGTAATGATGGTTCGAATATGTCACAAAAACAAATAACGTTTATGTTATTTACTTATGTGGAATTATCTTCGTTATGGTTTTCATCTACATTCCCAGTCAACCTAAAAGTTAATGCTGGGATGAACCTTTGTTTCCGAACAGAAAATTGACCCCAAATCATACACAGTCCAAATGTCTTATTTCACATTCACTATTATTATTATTATTATTATTATTATTATTATTATTATTATTGTTATTATTATCAATTTCTTTTTAGCAAAGAAAATGCAGCAGAACTGGACGGATTTCTTTCTACTCGTACACTGATATTAATTTATTTTGATTAGGAATACTTTGTAGCATCCAGGAGGAGTTAATCACGAAAGGCGGACGAGAAGGTACTTAGCACTTCGCCAATTGCTGGATCATTTTCTTAGGCACATTAATAACTCAAGATAGGATCTCTGACGAATTCAACAACGTTAGGGTGATATTTGATGCGAAAAAGTTGGAAACGTTCGAGATTTATCACCTAATACAATATCAAATTTTCCTGAAGTCGGAAACATTGAAGGAAAATATATAATCAATTAAAGTATTCAGCAGCTATTGCTAAGAACCCCATTGTTTTACTATCAATTGAAATAAAGAAGCATCTTGGCCGCTAAAGCCTGTTCATTCAAACGTAAACAGAGCAAATCGAATTAGATGACATGAAATGCATGTCCTTCACGGATAATTCACATTTGACTCAAATAAGACAATACTGCTTATAGATGCGTAGGTCCTATTCATCTCCCTTTACTAAATTTGAACTCTAACATAGTGATTACGGAAGTAATGTAACTAACTTCCCAGACGGGGTAGGGCAGTAAGTTGGACAATCATTTATAAAAGCAACCCCACGAAATCAGTCGCCCGAAAAAAAATTGGAACTTCCCTATCGATGGCATAATGGAAACCGTGTTGATCACGATTTTATTTCCATACCCAAGTTCAGCTCACGGTAGAGATGACTTGTGGGTTTAGGTCGTGGTGGTAGTGGTGCTTGTGTTGGTGATAATGCAATAATGTAACGTGAGAGAGATTAACCAGAACACTGAGGAAACCTTTTATGAACTCGTTTAGCCCGTAACGAGCACCAGACGGAGGACCTGTTTAGTTCACGTCCCATTGACAAGTACAGCCAATGACAATACAATTACATTAGGATCCCACCGTCCCGAACTCAATTTTAACTCATACTTTAAGGTTCGTTCTGTTTACTTGATTACGATTTCCTGAAAACTAATTAAGCTCAAATCAGACATGATATTGTGGCTGAAAAGCTTGTTGCTATCCATAATATCTTCCGGGAAGCCAGAATTGGTGCCCTTAAGCCCTGAGTTGTAGAGTGTACTGACTCGTCGACATGAAACGAAAAGCGGAGCAAGCAAGTCAGAAGGATCGGGGGGATGCAATCCCCATCCTCATCCAACGCCTAAGAGCCTCACTCACCGAAGGAGCGCACGCCGCTGACGGGGCTGAGCGGGTAGAAGTCCCCGTGCAGCGGGCAGTGGAAGCCCACGCGTCGCTCGCGGCGTCGCGCGCGGCGCGTGAGCAGGCACAGGCCGACGCCGGCGGCCAGCATGAGCAGCCCCACCACGATGCACGCGGGCCCCAGCACGCGCGAGTTGCCCGTGAAGGCGATGCGCGCCGCGTAGTGTTCGGGCTCCTCGTCCTCGGCCGGGCCGCGGTACGACGCCGCCGTCAGCACGCATCCCACCAGCACGAAGAGGAAGCCGAACGCCGGCAGCGCCAGCTGGCAGTTGGCCGCCACCACCACCCCCGCCACCATGAGGCCGCCCTCGATCTTCTCCACGCGCAGGCGAGAGATGGGCGCCGGACAGCGGATGCCGCCGCCGCCACCCGGTACGCCGCCGCCGACGACGCCCTCCTCGCCCGCGCCGTCTCCGGGCCTGTGGACACACACACGCATGCCAGCGCGTTAGATAGCGATTCTTCCACAGAAGGATTCAGCTCCCCCTCCCCCAGACGATGATATGTTCAAACATATACAATTTACTAATTTTCTACGTTAACGAAAGTCATTTAACATCTTAGTAAACAAATAATTGTAAACAAAAAACAATTATTCAACACATGTGAACAATTATGAATAAGAATTACAAAGTTGACAGGATACTCCACCCGTAGCCTCCGTTACAAAAATCTGGATGTGTCACTGACTTCTTCTGTTACCAAAACTACACACTTCAAGAATGTACTCAAACGGGTGATTTAAAATTGTCTGTAGATCTCGAAGTCTGCTGCAACCCTGTGTGATGAGGCGTGTGTGAAATTCTGTTCCAACTAACGCTGAAAGATATTTTCGACAGCGAAGAAAAATGACGTATCTTATAGTGACCAATCAGTCAGCACACTCGACCAGAGGCCGCCAGTTCGGCGCTGCGATTTGTTAATTTCCCACTAACAACTCTACACCCTTCAAGCAAATTCTATTCAGGGTGATTCAGAGTTACCTTTGGACCTCTGAATGACAGCTACGTCACGATACGATAAGCGGGGTGTGATTGTCAGTTCTTGCGAAATCGTAAACATATTCACAGGAAACGGTGAAAGTGAAGGGCGTACGTCTCGGTGAGAATTTTCTAATGCCGCCCGCATTATCGTTCGATGGGCGAGATGAGTGTCACACGTTGTATCTGAATCATACATTATCATGCGGCAACAAACTTTCAGCATGGTACTGAGGACAATGCATTCCATCATAAGGAAACTTTTCAAGAACCTTTTTACTTTTCGTATTACTGGTGAATTCCTTCTTTGATAATATCAAGAAGATGGCATTTTCCAAATTTATTTTCGAAGAAATGGCATCGTCAATTTAAATATTCGGAAGCAGTTCTGAATCCCCTCGAAGATGCATCGAGCCGAAAACGACCTTGCGGCCGGGGCGCATCTCTGAAGGTGCAGGGAAACAGTCCCTTTCTTCGGGCTCTTTATAGGGGTATATTTTGCAGTTCACTATTTGAAAAAAAAATCTTCATGATTTTCACACACGCTTAATGTCACTATTACTGAACGATTCACCTGAATTCAGTTTGAGATTTAACTGGGAGTGATGCAACGAAATCACGAAATGCCCTGTACAAAGTTTACTTTTGTGCAATGCTCTTCGAACTTACACAGCAGCTCTCGTAAACATACTTGGTTCTCGAACGACAAGAGCTCTCCAGTTTTATAATTACTGTCTCTACATCTGGTCGTTTCTCCGCAAAATAAGTGCCCAACATGATTTATGATTTTTTATACTAAACAAATGTATTGTCTTGATATTCTTGTATGGCTGTTAATTTGAGACAATTTAAACTTTTTTTATTTTAATCCAGTGAAAAAGCTAACACGTCTGTTGACTTCAGTGATTGTTCATTTATAGTCACAATATGTTTTCCCTCGACTTCTGTACTAAAGTAATTTTGCTACTATTGCAAGTATTCCTTTTAAAACCAATGGATTTCTTCTTGTTTGTACAAACATCCAGATAAAGTGAAATAAATAATTCCCTTTTCGATGTTCGTTCATAAGTGAGAATACATCGTGAGAAAACATGTTCTCGGGTCATAGAGCATCGAGGCTTAGAACGCGCCACATCATTTTCTCAGGTTCCCTGTACAGTACACGTACGTAAGGTGTGCTACTGATCGACTGTGAACAATAACTTATTCGCCGCGTATTGAAAACGATTTCCACCACAACTTGATACGACTTGCATTAACATTTTTAGAATTGTTAAGTCCATATATTTTTAAATTCAATAGCAAAGAGCGCGCAAAATAAAACTCATAGAGAACAATAACACAGGTGTTGTTGACTAGTACTGCAAATTTCCATCACCCTTTGACCGAATGACGGTTAAATACAAGTCATAAATGGAGTGATTAGCGCACCAAAACGTGCACGCTGTACGTCGCCGAGCGTCGCTTGCATTCCATTAAAACGTCGTTGACCACCGCATCGAGGTGCCGCCGTCATCAGCTTACCCGCTTGAATGAATGAGCCGGCGAGCCGCTGCCGCACACCGCCCGGGAAACCTCTTCCACGCACACGGGCGCTCTGTCCTCGAGAACACTTGGTGGTAATGGACTGGGTGAGGCTCAGCGCTGACTGGTGGGTCCGCGGACACTGTGGGGACGCCTAGTCCAACGCGATACGCGGACAGCGCATCGTCCTTATCGAGACACATATCGCCAAACGTCGATACGCCATATCGGCAGTGAGGTTTCAGACGTGTTATGCACGTGCCCGTTCAAAGATAAGAAAAATAAACTTCGTAAATGTTAACTTCCGCACAGATGAAATGCGGACTAATATACTGTAGGTGGAATGAAGTGCTTGTTTATAATGTCATCTCATCCAATGAAGGGCGAAGGCACGCGAGAAATTAACGAATGCTGTGCCTAGACGTAGTACATTAGTTCGAACCGCGTAATTACAACAGCTCTAGCAATATGTTCTCGTTTTCTAAGTGCCTCTTCCAAGTGGATAAGAGCGGTGTTATCAGCACACAAAATCACCTACCACACCTCTTACCTACTGTGCTCTCTCTCTACCTAATTCCCAAACCTACACGTACTCGTGAATTTATGTAGCATTTGTCTTCTTTGAAACGCTGCGTTAATGCCATTTTGCGTCGCAGCCGCACCCTCGGCCTAAAACGCTTTGGGGAGGCTGGGACGGAGGCCAAGTTATCTCCGCTTTGTCACGAACGTCCCTGAGGTGGGAAGGGGCGCGGGCGGACATGGGCGAGGCGATGAGGGACGCAGAGAAGGGCGGAGCGGGGCGATACGGGACGGAGTGAAGAAGGAGCAGGATAAGGTGGACGAAGCGAAGACGATAGTGGTGGACTGGAGGGGGACGGAGAGGACCGGACAGGGTGGAGAGGGGCGGGGTAGGTTGGTGGAGTGGGGTGGGGCAGGATGGTGGGGCGGGGCCGGACGGGGAGGGGGCGGGCAGAGTGAGAGGGGTGAAGCCAGGGCAGGGTGCGAGGGTGGCGGCGAGCTCCTCAGGCACGGACTCACGAACGGGCCCAGCGGGCCGAGGGGTGGTGGGGGCGGGCCGGGAGGCCGGGGGCGGGGGCGTGGGCGCCGAGATGTTGCGGAGAAGGGGGAGGAGCAACCGCGCCGACCGCCATAGCGTGGCATCTAACTAAAGGATGCAGTAGTGAAGGGCGTCACAACGAAGGCTGTGACAAGGTAGATAGAAAGCTATTGAACTATAACAAAAGATATTTCATCAAGGTTAAGACACAATCATTTTGCCTTTTTCGAAGATCGGTTTCCAGTGTTGCCAACAATGCAAACCATTTATTCCAGGGAAACTGTGCCTTAAAGCACAACATAATACAGACAGCTAGGTTTTCATTCATTTCTCTCAAACTCAGATGGTATCTAATGTGAAAGCAGAGTAATGGAATGGCAATATGAAGCGATGGAAGGGGCTGAAAAGTTAGAGAGGGAAATCATAAAGTGAAACGGGAATCATAGGTGTCGGATATAGTATGTACGGCTGAGATTATAACAAACTATCAGCAATTCCGAGGTCTATTTCTCTTCTATTTCCCTATGGTATATTTACCGCGGCAATGATGCACTACAGTTGAATACTCTCTGAGGTGAGTATCAGGAGTCAATTGCTTTAGAAGAGAATTTGTAATGGCTTGAAAACGTTCAGCCCGAACTCAAAGAATCATGTAATATACTTAATTTTTGCAATAAATGTCCTAGTTAATAAATCAAAGAGAACCTGCTAATGGTGTAGCAGTAAACCTGCACAGAACGTGACTTGGTGGCAACTGTGGGGGTTTAACTGAACGAGACGACGTAGGATGGGCGCCCTCAAAAATAGAGGCGAGAGTTGGAGAAGCGACAGAAATGAAGCAGCTCCGGCGTGAATGGAAGGCCTGGACGGAAACGCGGCGCTGCGTTGGTGGGCGAGAGGAGAACCGGCGTCGTTGCGGGCAGCGCTGGAGGGCCGTCGCGCCTGGGGACGATGCGGTGACAAAGACCCGAGTGGAGGAGAAACCGAATGCAAAATGCTCGGTGGCCAAAGTGGAACGAGGAATGCGAATGAAACTACGAATTGAAGCGTGATAAATGAAACCATTTGATTCCTCTCTAAATTGGCCGCAACAGAAAGAGAAATATTTTAAAACGGTACAGCAAGGATTGCAGTACATCGGGATCAGAAGTAACAAATGAAGAAGAATACAATAGTAACTCATAATGACGCTCAATCACGGGACAAAAAGAATAGGAAAACAGTTCTGGAAAACGAGAGTGAGTAAGAAACAGGAGAGGGGAGAACGAGCGACAGAGTGTGAGGGAGCAAGAGAGAAAAGCATACGAAATAAGAAAGCGTGGAAAATTATAGAGTCAATGAAGAAAATTGCGTAAAGTCTGGGTTTTAAAGTCTGAGAGTAATTCAATGTTTGTCACTAGCAATGATGCTAATTAGTGAGTAAAAATTGAATTAATTTTAATTGAAGAAAGTAATAATTTAAAAGTCGTAAGACAATAAATGAGTAAAATATAAAGGGAGGGTAACCGTGTCAGAGAAGCAGAGTACCAACAGATGCATAACACTCTTTCTTCACTGGCAGTACCGATAGGAACTAAGAGAAAAGAGGGAAAACGAGAGAAGTCACAAAGAACTCCAAAACACAATGCAGAAAGAGAGGTAACCAACAAGCGAAGGAGGGGCGTGGTACGAAAACCGCACAAACAGAACCCGAGCGAGCAACCTGCAATCAGCAGAAACTGCGACAGCGAGGGGTGACGCGTCGACGTCACCCGAGGCCGCGTGTACCGCATGGGGGCGGCGGCGGCGGCGGCGCGGTGGGGGCAGATGCGAGGCTAGATAGGGAGACGCGGAGGGTGCGTGGCGGCGGCGCCGCAGCTCTGGCTTCGAATCCTGGAGCGAGCCTCCAGCCGAGTATCGATCCGCGTCGCCTCGCTGCGCCCTGCTTCTCTTCGCCCTCGCTTCAGCCTCCGCCGCGCCACACAAGGCGCCCGCTGCGGCTGCGCCACGAGCAAAAGGTTCTACGTTTCCCCCTTCGGTCACAAGTTGTTCAATTATTCTGTTAGAGTAATGTTTTACAATACGACATTTCAGATCTATTAAAAACTATTATAAATTAATTAAGGTCGAACTCTTACTACGTTATAAACTGTAACCGTCACCGAAGCCTTGTCACTCCTGCAAGTCTGTTCGAAGAGCTGGCTGCCTTGCTAACTCGAGAAATTAGAGCAACTGGGCGTATTCCAGCAGATCCGGGATCGATTACAGACTGGATAGTCACTACTTCGCACAGTCAAATGTCATTTGAAACATTACATATTACGTACTGTCAAGTTATTCTCTCGTCTGATGTCGATCTGCAAGGTGCAGATGGCTGCGGAGGCAACCACGCTCATGCGTTCACATTCTAACTTCACATACATGCTCTAATCTACGCAAAAACCAATCAGATAGTATTTACTATCTACATTTCATGTTTGCTTAGATCATCACAGTATAAGTTTCATGACGGATTTCGGAACATAGCTCCTTCGAAAAAGCTAAGATAATTTTATTCCAGTGAATTTGGAATTGACTCTTTTAAAAACAAGTGCGATCGAAAAACAGCCAGAATAATTTTTATTTTCCTCGCCTTTCAAATGTTATCAAGCTTTTATCACTATAAGATGTTCAATTTTACATTTCTATTATTTCCAATGTTATTAAACACAATATATTACAATGCGCCAGGTTTAACTCGTTGCTTAATTTCCAGAGCAACTTTTTTAAAAATGAACGAAGGCGAGATTTAGCGAAGCATTCCTAACAATAAAAACCTACTAAATAAACAACTTCAAAATGTGGAATCTCTCACATTCAATACCAAACAATTTGTTAGAAGAGAAATCATGAAATGTTATTAAGAATAGAACTCTAGCTATAACAGTAAATGCTGAAAAATTTACTCTACTGAACCCAAATTTACTTTAGATAACTTATTCCTCTAACTTATTAGTGTGGTAAGATAACTTGAATTCATAGCATTTGGAATTGTCTTGATTTAAAAAAGCGAGCAAAATCCATCATATGTTAGCGAATGAGGAAGCGAGGAAATACATGCGTGCTGCCAGCAAATCAAACAAGTCCAAATGCAGCCCCTCCACTCGTTAATTGAGATTAAATTTAGAAAGCTCTCCCGTGGCTGCTCGGACGCCCGCATTGGCGCGCAATGCCCTCTTGCGGGCTACCGATTGCTATCTGTTCGTCCGCAAATTAACTCTGCATATGCAGATAGCATCTATGATGGACATTCTAAAATAAATGTCTGTTTATACATATTTCCAATAATTGTGTTGATGGTTTCCTTGATTGTGGTGAGGTTGATTGTAACTCAATGTTTAAATGAAAGAAGGCTTTAGAATGATTGAATGTACAACTAAAGTATTAATGGTATTCCATAAAATAAACGATAAATCTATTCCTTATTGACATATCGAAATATCTATCCCTTATTGACGTAAAATGGACAAAATAGCCCCAATCATACTAAACTTCAATGTTAAGATTTTCTGGACAATGCCCTTTGGAAGGACGAACAGACTATTCTGTTCCGTGTACCTTCATAATAGACTACACAAGTTGAGAAATTTGCATTTCGTGACTAGCACCATTACATGACTGAGAATGAAGCCGCGGAGATATAAAGAATATACGATGTTACGTGACTATAAAATGTGTTCATTTTTTACGTCTGAATGGCACGAACAAAATGTATCCATTTAAAGCTCATAGTTTGGAAGCAAATAATCCCTGGAAACTTGTTCTAACAAATTCTGATAACGAAAAATACGACTGCCTGTTTATTATTATATTACTACTTCACACTCGTTCGTATTATTGCAAAACACCTAAGACTTTTTGTCTTTTGTCCGTTACATTCGCTAAAAAATCGAGCATTTTATCATTTTTCCACTGAAATCATTCAATATTCAAGGTTTTTTAATGTAAAGATCACAAGCAAGTTGCAGTATTCGCAGAACTGAAAATGAAATTTGCCAACACTATAAGAATTAAACAAAGGTAATTCGCGGTAACACAGAATAAACTCGCGGACACAGAATGAACAAGCTTGGACAGATGCACGTTGTTGATGATGTCATTCCAAGAAATTAATGAATATGTAGGCGAATATGCCCAAATAAAAGAAAAATGCTGACGCAATTTATTATCATGTTTAATCCTGGAGACTAACAATGTTTCATAGCACCTCATCAATTCCCGGTGAAAACTCTGGACGCCCACTCCTCCGCTCAAGACATGTGGTGGAAGGACAGAGGTGGCGTTGGAATTAATGTTGCAATGCATGGAGATGGAAGTGCAAGGCAGGCGCGGCGCACGGCAAGGCGGGCCGCTGGCAAGACGCGGGGCGCATCTTCAGCAAGCGTGCGAGCAGGAATGCCGGCTGAGCATACCTCTCCACTCGCTGGGCTACAATATTGATGCTTGCAGAGAAGATAACGGCGGGCGGCAGGGAATCGGCGGTCGGGGACACGCGAGGTGGCGGTGGCAACGCCAACTGCTGATTCGGAGGCACCATACCTCACTCCCCCCCCCGCCCATCCCTCCACCGCCCACTCTCCGCTCCGCCGCCCACACTTCCACTTCGCGTCTCACTCCCCCCCAACTCTCATTCCTCCGCTCCGCCCCTCACTCTGTCCCGCGCCCCGCTCCAACACCCACTTCTCCGCTTCGACGACCACTCCTCCGCCCATCCCTCGGCTCCACACTTCTTCCGCTCTGCTCCGCCCTTTCCTCCCCACTCCGTTTACTCTTTGACGCACCGTTCCTCACTACTCCACTTCAGCCTTCACTACTTCTCTGGCCTGGACCGGTCCGTTCCGCTCTATTCTACATAACCCCGCGGCGACCCTTCCCTCACCGCACCACCACTCAATTCTGCCGAACCCCGCACCGTCCCATCCCATACAATGTGGTGATGCGGCACCACGCACCTCATCCTCTCGCCCCGTCCCGCGTCTCGTCAAGTAGCTCCCAGCCACTCGCAATGCAATATATATACCACCTGAGCGGCAGTCTACGCCGCAGTCGGCGCACGATGTCTCCCAACCGCCCGTACATTACGGCACTCAGCACCTCACGCCACCGGCCTCGGTTCCTTTGCATTCTCTCCTCTTCTCTTTTGCTCCTCCTTGCGAACTGTACCCTTGACTACGCAATCCCATCAGGATTCTTCCCATTCCGGAACCCATCCTCCGTCTTTCTTCCTCCTTACGAACAGCAACACGGGCGGCTCTTCAGCCTTTTCTATTCCTTTTTGTTCCCTGACGGAATCGTGGATCTTTCCTTGCATCGCAACCTTGACCCTTTCTCTGCCCTTGACCCTGCTCCCGAATCTGACCTCCACCATTTCCCCTTGTCCCCAAACCCATTTCGGAGTCTGGGTTAAGAAATCCCAAACCTTTCGAGCGCAGACTTCCTTACTCGCTGTCTGCCCACTCACGTCTTCGCTCGCGTCTGCCGCATTCACAATAGAAGGAATTGCACACTGAAAACTCTCATTTGCAGCAGCAACGCTTTCATTCGGGAAGTTGTGATTGCTCGAGCATCGTTCCGCTTTCAAATGGCAACTGATTGCTCTGGCTACTTTCTCCATTGCAAGGAATGTATTTTTCAAATAATATTTAATGAATTTTTAAAGCAAAAGAGAAATTAGAGTGTGCATCCTCAATCACAACAAACCTCGTCAAGAAATACGAATCCTCGTATTATTTTCAGTCCAAGAAAGTGCTCCAAATACATCTCAAACAAAATAGATCAATGTGATCGATACGATCAATACGATCAGTGAAAACATTAATTAATTACGTGTCTAAGTTAATGTATTGATAACTGTTAATTGTGATTAATTGTGAAACTGACTAAACTGAAGTTTTGTGATAAAACAATAAACCGAAACTATTCATCTTCACGGATTATATTCACAATTCAATGAAAGTGAAATCAGGATGGATTATTGCAAATTAACCTACCAACAACCACTCACCTCTTCGCAGACTGTTCCCTGTAGTATACTTTGCCTGATGTCATTCTGTGCCCAGACACGCGATTGTCGTAAGCTCCTTGATTTTGACCCTCCATACCATCTCATGTCACGCAATTCCCTCGTGAGTACCACGCGAGCACGATGTGTCGTCACTTTTCTGTTTTACAAAGTGACAAATTCTAGCCATTATTCATCACCTGACGTGCAATTTATACAGGTTCCCTTGGCATCAGAAAACGGCCTCTTGACTTTCAGTATATTTCCCTAGAGGAAAGACAAACTCTCCAGCTTTATAACGTACTCGTATATATAAAGGTATTGCAGTAAAATTTTGAGGAAGAGATAGAAAATATAAATTGTGAACAAGATTATAGTTCGCATTATTTCTAACAACTAACGTATATTGTGAGATTTAATGTATACTTGTATCAACACGGGAATAGAAATCAGTTACGTGCTTGAGAGCTTGCCGAAGAAGGAAGAGAATAAATAAATAAATAAATAAATAAATAAATAAATAAATAAATAAATAAATAAATAAATAAATATGAATGTGATACCCACATAAAAATATTTCCTCTTTCGACACATTAAGATTTGAAACATGAGTACTAATATTATTCACTTTGAAATTTATTTCATGAACTATTTGTTCCATTTCACGCTTCGAATTAATTTCTGAGCGATTAATTTACTTTCCCCACGTGAATACATTGATCCAACTCAGACTTTCCCCCAAATCGTTATTTTCTTAGTACGAACTTCAACAGCTGGAACCAACTAACTTCGGATTTGTGAATCATCCGATTGTCAAGATAACATGCAAGCGTCGTTTACAAAGCATACGAAAGTTTTCCGAAGATATGCAACTTTTATTAATTCTTTGATATATTGCCCTTTAAGACCACCAGACGATAGCGTGAAGATACATCACGGAGGAATTTCTACTCACGGGCGTTTCTGTAATGCTGTTTATAATTACTTACAATGTATGAGATTATTAATTAATTGCAATGTTGCACTTTGACATTGTTAATTAATTTCTAAAACATTAAACATAATGTTTTGTACAAGACTGAGTGAAAAACTACTGCATCTCTCTCTCTCTCTCTCTCTCTCTCTCTCTCTCTCTCTCTCTCTCTCTACTTTCAGTACAATTGTAAATTCAAAAAGAAAAACGTCCTAAAACGTTATCACGTATTTCTTGAAAACCAAAAAAATATATGCCACGATAACGAGAAGCTGAGAAATATAAGATGTCTTATCCACAATTTATCTGTTTTAGAGGTTATAAATAAATTGTAAATAGGCAAAAAGAAGTTAATAATAAAATATGTTTTAGAGAAATTACGAAAAATTTACGAAATATTTCACCTGGGTAACGTCATGAATCGAAATTGCATTTAACCCTGTCTTTTTTTAAATACTAATATAAACCTACAAACACACTAACGAAAATCCCCCTAAGCTCTCCCCAACACATGTTTAACATATGAATAATTCTCCTCTCGTCCTGTCACTGATGTCCTTCACGCGGAGGAAATAAATAGTATTCTTCCATTACTCTACAGGCTGAAGAATGATCTGCTGATTGCCAGTAAAGGTAGTAAGGGCAACTTCTGTACGAAGAGCATACCAATTAAGACTGCTTTCACCAAAACAATTGCATTTCCCGTGAGAGACATGTAGCTACATTTACGATGAAAGTCTAGCATGCACTAGAGTAACGCTGACCCCTATTGTGGCTTTATTACTGAGCAGAATGACAGGGCTCTAGCTGAGGAGGTGTGTAGTTGCTGAGGAGAGAAAATAGGGGAGACATTCAAATTTAAATGATCTGAAATATAAACTGAATTTTTTTCAAAATGTTGAAACGAAAAAACAGAACTGGTATTTTATATGTATTTTATAGGATTTTATATCTCTGTTGCTACCAAATAATTTAACTTCTGGTTCTACAGAGTGACATTAACAAGTATCTCATACTAGTTAATTTCCTAATCACTTGAGTCGAGCTAGATTTTCGTATTTCCTCTATCATCTTCCCAGCTGCCTCGGCGCCTATATCCAGGGACCGAAAAGGTACTGAATACCGGTAAAAGTACCGGTAATTTACATACCTCTATCAACTACCTTTATTATTTTATAGCGGTAAAATATCTTTATACCACGTCTATACCGGTACGGACGTCCATAAAGGTTACACCGCCATTATACCGGTGTTTTCAATGGAAAATAACTGAGCATACGCAGAAGATCGATAGTGCTGTCCGCAGTGGCATGCACAGACTCTCTAATGATAGTGTGGAATGTGTCGAGTGCTTTATGCTCTATCTGAGCGAAACCAATGACTGGGGCCGAAACGTGGACGCCCATAGGGCGAAGCACTGGCCTCTAGAAACTGCTTATGCAACGGCGCTGCCCTTGCTGCTCTTCAAAGAGGAAACTGATTCGGCGGTTCCGTTAACGGAAGTTTATTTCTTGGTAGGAAAAGGGGCTTCTCTTTGGAAATGTTCATTATTCGGTTCTGTTTTCACAAATTTCTACTGCTTTGAAATTATTCCTAGAAACTCAAAAGTTTTAGAACGTGTTTGACATTTGCCATTGATATGTTTAAAACATTTTACATGATTGTGAAAATTTAATCAAGTTAGAAAAATTGAAGAAACTCACTATTTTACACCAATAACAATATCTGAACATCAAATACTTAAAATATTTACGGCCAACAATACTGAGTCATTCAATATCATGCTCTGTTATTAGAAACCTAAGCAAAACCACATATTCAAATTTTGAAGTCTTATGGAGTATAAGAAATAATGTTTTAGAGGCGTTTTGCATCAAGACCTTTCATGACTTCAGTGCCTCCGAATTTTCGACACGCTTCATTTATCTGGTTCGAATTTAGCCGCCATTCTAGCGACCGGCTGTTCTGGTTAGTAGTTTTCCGTGATTCTGAGCAATACTAGAGCAATACTAGGCGAATCCAGACGCAGTACACTATTTAACATACCATGGTCTACACGCGATCTTTCCTTCCACATCTATGTACTTAATCCGTCCCCTTACACATACGTACATGCTCTACACTACCACACTTGTCTGGAGACCTGTCGTGAAGTTCAAGTCTGTTTCGATTGGGGCGGTGGCTCTCAGAGCGGAAAATACCCTGCAAGCCGACATGTGGGTCTCACAATCCAGCGTCATCGAAACACCGCCACCTCCCGAATTAAAACATACCCTACACAAACGGAATTAATGACAGTTGACGTGAAAAGTGTCGTAAACATCAATAAACCAATCAATCAATCAATAAATAAATACGGAGAAACCGATGTTCCTCTATCGCTAATGTGTGAAATGCTGCTTCGGGCTATATGTACGCTTCAGAAGCATTCCCTCCCTCCTAATACATTCCGAGCAGTCGGAACAAACCCTAGGCTCCAACTAATCTCCCGAGATGTCTGGAAGTGTCGTGCGTGAAAGAGGGTGGATACCCAAGTTGAAAGGATCAGGAAGAAAAGAGAAAC